CAAGTACTTTTAATATTTTTAAAAAACGTTGCCCCACATTAGTATTTTCTCCTGTGTCGTGGGTGCGTTTACAAACATACAAGTTCACATACACATGACATCCAGACCAGGAACAACAATTTTTGGATCACACAAAGTGTTGTTCCGTGCGGGAATCGAACCCGCGACACGTTGCGCGGCAGCCAGTTGCCCAGCCACCGCACCAACCGTGCAGTCAAAAGTACAAAGTAAAGTACTTAAATATATTTAAGGAGCTGGGAATCGAATTCGGAACCATTTATCATAACAACCATGTTAAAATTTCGACGACAGCCAATAGTCTGTTGCCTGGCTACGGTACCACCATTTGCTGGGTAATATTATCACATCATTTTATAAAAATTCGAAAAAGTAAGATGTTACAGGGAATCGAACCCTAGACCCACTTAACCAGCGAGGTATGACATCACACCATTAACAAATTAAAAAAAAACGTTTATGTGTACACTCGATAACTTTCGAGCGAAACCACCTAAGAGCTCCATTCAACTTCGAAAACGTACGCACCAAAAATAAAATCGACTTACCTGAGAAAAATCCGTGAATTCGTTATGCGAAACTTGTAAATGATACGCATAACTATTTTCGTCGAAAGCCCTGGGGTTTAATTTCGCCAAATTATTATGGCTAAAGTCCAACAAAGTCATGTTGTTACAGTTCTGGAAAGCCCCCGTCTCTATAGTAGATAAGGCATTGTGCGAAATATTAACTGTAGCTTGATATAAATCTGTAAACGCCTGATTTTCTATAATAGTTATGTTATTTTCAGCCATGTTTATCATCTGAAAAATAATAATATTAAATATTACACAGATACTATGTAACTCTGAATTATATTATGGTTTGGTCAAGTCAGGAATCAAACCTAGACTACTTACTCGGTAGTCGCATTGGCAGATAATTTTAAGAAAAACCATTGAATTTAAAATTTTATTTAGTTTTATGACTAGTGAGTAAATCTAGTGTCTAATGACTAATGAATATTAACTAATGACTAATAACTCCGACCAGTGACTACTAATACAAAAAACCCTCATGGGAGACAGGCGTGTTATATTATGTCATATTTTTGTTTGGAATTCGACTATTGTGTCTATTATTCTTTAATAACTCTTACATATTGACCCTTTTTTTTTTTTTTTGAGGCGCGCGCGGAACGCTCGGCGCCGTACGCTCGGGTCTGTTTCTGGTCGGACGGGGAGCCACCCATGCTCGCCGTCCGCAGGCCCGCGCTTACGGTGGCCGGAGATCGTCCCGCGATCCCCGACGCCCGGTGTGTCCTTCGCGATGGCTGGGTTGCGAGGAGGCAGCGCTTCGCTGCCTCACGCGTCCCGCCTCCTCCTTAGCTAGCATGACTGCTTCGCAAAAGGAGGAGACGGCATCCCAGTCCCCCTCGCTCCGCATCATGGCCCGCACTAGGCCCGGACGCGAGAGGTCACCATCGCCGATCACTTCCCTGAGGACACGGCGGTGCTCAGCCCACGCAGGGCATTCTCCCACCGTGTGTTCCACCGTGTCCTCAGGGCGGTCCTCGCAGTGATGACACCCGGGCGTTTCCTCCCACATATTGACGCTAGACTCGATTGGTAACTAATGACTAATGACTAATAACTAATGACTAATGACTTTTACCAACTAAAAACTAATTAAAACTCTTACCTCAGCATATTTAACTTGCTGAAACATTTGGAAATCAATTTTCTTAATTTTATTTCTTGCTAGATCAATGGTACCGATTCTAGTGACCGCTGAAAACGTGCCGCGACCGACGTCTGAAATCTGATTGTCTTGAAGGTAGAGACGCCTGAAAATAATAAAATATACATCTATATCTATATATAAATGAAAATGAAAATGAATTTCCGTTCGCTAGTCCCGCTAAAACTCAAGACCTCTAAAAGAAGACCTCTCGAGAAATCTATATAAGTAAAAATGACTGCACGGTTGGTGCGGTGGCTGGGCAACCGGCTGCCGTGCAACGTGTCGCGGGTTCGATTCCCGCACGGAACAACACTTTGTGTGATCCACGAACTGTTGTTCCGTGTCTGGGTGTCATTGTGTTTGTGAATTTGTATGTTTGAAAACGCACCCACGACACAGGACAAAGTTCTAGTGTGGGGGCAACATTATAAAAAAAAAAATAATAATAATGAAATGCTAAAAGTGACTGAGGTTACTGGAGGCCCAATTACACCGCGACTGGTGTTCCAGGTGTCCATGGGCGACGCCGATTGCTTACCATCAGGTGATCCGTCTGCTAGTTTACCAGCTTATACCATAAAAAATATATATTATTACCTTACCTCAAAAATCTCATTCCTCTAAAACTATTTGTATCCAGTTTCTTAATCTTATTGTTGTCCAAATGTACCACTTTGATTACAGTGTTCCTTGCAAACATTCCCCTGGAATAGAACAACAGGACTTTTAACTCGTTGAGTACCGTCATTATAAGAAACTGAGCGGAGCGTGTGAAACCGCGCGGAAGTAGCTAGTTTTACTTATATGTGTATGAATAATTGCAGCCCCCCTCCCTCCCCCTTCATAATCCCCACGCTTCCGTGGGCAGGCCTCCCGCTAGGTGGCACGACATCGCCAGAGTTGCGGGGAGCCAGTGGATGCGGGTGGCGAGTTGTCGTTCGACGTGGAGGACTAAGGAGGAGGCCTTTGTCCAGCAGTGGACGTCTTCCGACTATTGATGCTAATGATGATGATGATATATGAATTAGGGAAAGTACTTACCTAGGTATCTCTCCAATTTGATTATGACTCGCGTTACACCATCCTAGCTTGGTCAGGTCTCCTATATGACTGCCGTCGAGCTTCGTGATACTGTTGTAACTGAAATAAATATAAATACATACATTATAATATTATTTATTAGCTGGGGGTAGACAGGAATACACATAATACAATGTAACACCCACTTTTCACTATTTATGTTATGAGTCCCATGTCATAGAGGGTGAGCCTATTGCCATATACAGGCCGCACGTTGCTATAACTGAAATTGTTTGATAACACCGAATAGTCGTCATTAAACTGCTTTTTCTAATTGATAATCGAACCTTAGACCCCTTGTTCTGTCATTACACTTCAGCGTCATTAAACTTTGTCCTACCTGGGTATCGAACCGAGACCCTTGTTCGACAGTTATACTTGTAACAATTAGACCAATGAAGTAGTTTTTATAACAATATTATCTTATCTTATACTATTATATAAAGCGGAAGAGTTTGTTTTCTTGTTTGTTTGTTTGAACGCGCTAATCTCCGTAACTACAAGTCCGATTTGAATAATTCTTTTTGTGTTGGATAGCGCATTTATTGAGGAATGTTGTTGGGTAAAAAATATCACGCTACGATCAATAGGCGCCGAGCAGGGGGCTTACTCTTGAATCTGATTCCGATCGATTGACATTAGTATTGTGAACTTTCGTACTCTCGAGTTGCAACACTAGCGCCCATTGGGTCCGTATTGCGTGGATATTTAATTAATTAAATGGTTTGGCTTTATATTCCGTACTCTGAATTCTATTATACTACTATTGTGGTTGTATAGTTTGACTTTGAATATTAATAAGCTCCCCGTCCGACCAGAACCAGACCCGAGCGTACGGCGCGTCGCGTACCGCGCGCGCCTCAAAGAGCCATCAGACCACCACAGATGGAGCCCAATAGGGCTGATGCCGATACGGAGCCGGGGATACGGGGCTGCGGCTCGAAGAGCAGAAGTAGAAACGGGGTGGTTTTTAGTCAGTAAGAGTCTGACACTCCCTCCCGCCTCACCCAAGGCGAGCGGTAATCCGATGATTTTTATAATAACTATCGTGAGACATAGTAAATTGAGTAAAATCGCGGGTTACTCACGTGAATATACTGAGAAAAGCTCTACTAGTTTCGAACCACATAGGGAAAAGCTCTACTAGTTTCGAACCACAGAGGGAAAAGCTCTACTAGTTTTGAAACACATACACAAGAACCCCTCTGTGGTTCGAAACTAGTAGAGCTTTTCTCAGTGTTTTCACGTGAGTAACCCGCGATTTTACTTAACCCGATGATTTCCCCATCAAAAAAATAAATAATAATCTATAATCCAACTAGCGACCCGCCCCGGCTTCGCACGGGTGCAATATGCATGTATTATACATACAAACCTTCCTTAAGAATCACTCAATCTATTAAAAAAAACCGCATCAAAATCCGTTGCGTAGTTTTAAAGATCTAAGCATACATACGGACATACAGCGAAAGCGACTTTGTTTTATACTATGTATTGATATTTACCTTAGATCCAAAACTTCAGTATCCCTTAAACCTTTGAATTGATTCCGTTTGAGTGTAGCCAGCTTGTTGCCGTGTAGATCTAGTTTTTTTAGCTTTTTTAAAACCTGTAATTTTAATAACATAAATAGTGACAAGTGGGTATGACTGCCTCGTTGGCCGAGTGGTCGCAATTGCGACTGCCGGGTAAGGGGTCTCGGGTTCGATTCCCGGGTCGGGCAAAGTATTACTGGGTTTTAAAAAAATTCTCAGTAGTAGCACGGAGTCTGGAATTGTGCCCGGTGTATGGCAATAGGCTCACCCCCTATTACATAGGACTCATAACATAAATAGTGAAGAGTGGGTGTTACATTGTACAGTGGCATTAAGTGCTGTAATGTGCCTCTGCCTACCCTTTTGTAATGTATTTACCTGGAATGTTTCTGGTGGCATATCGGCAATTAATCCGTTTGTTAGGTGCAATCTCTCCAACTTGCCCGCTGCCTCGCTACCCACGAATATATCTTTACCCAACTTTGTCATTTTGTGCCCGTCTATTGAAAGCACTGATAGGTTGCCTAGAATCTGAAAGTAAGAAAATGTAGATTAATTACTTCTTTCAATTTCTACCTTATAGTTTACTAGCGACCCACCCCGGCTTCGCACGGGTGCAATACGCATGTGTTATACATATAAACCTTCCTTAAGAATCACTGTATCTATTAAAAAAAACCGCATCGAAATCCGTTGCGTAGTTATAAAGATCTAAGCATACATAGGGACAGACAGACGGCGGATAGCGACTTTGTTTTATACTATGTAGTGAAGGAATACCGAGTACGACTATCAAACATGGGGGCTTAGATCCTAGTTCGTGCATAGTTTTTGTATTCAGTTTTAAAATTCAACTTCATAAGGGCTCGCAATGCCAAAAATTACGACGCGAACTGTTGCGATACGATTTCCTGCGACAAGAGCGCGTCTTAAAAAAGCCTTAAATAGCGCAGCAGTACTCAGTAGGCTGCGCGATATCGCCGCGACTGCGCACGCTGCTCATGAGTAAGAATCCCTCTGTGGTTCGAAACTAGAAGAGCTTTTCTCAGTATATTCACGTAAGTGACCCGCGATTTCTAGTTAATTTTGTATGTCTCACGATAATTATTATAAGAAAGAAGATTCTGTATTCGACGAATATTTATGTATGTGTGTATGGCTGTTGTCAGTGAAGTGGTGGCAAGACTTATTGCGGATTCGATTCCAGGGCCATATAAAATTATAATTCGATTCCGATTTTCTAATCTATATAAATAAAAATAAGAAAGAAAATACATTTATTCAGCACCAGGCAGCATAAATCCTTAGTTTGTTCCGCTTTCACGCCGTAACTACTAAACCGATTGCTTTGAATTTTTGCAGACGTAAAGTTAGAAGTCTGCATTAAATAATAGGGTATTTTTTATCCCGGAAAAATTTGATATTCCCGAGGGAAAACAAAAGTATTGGTATAGATGGCGCTATATGTATTGGTGTATGTCACATAGGCTACTTTTTATCCTTTTGTGACGCGAGCGAAGCCGCGGGTAAAAGCTAGTAAAATATAAAAAAGACAATCAAGGTGTGACAGTGGAAGTAATAAAGACATTGAGTTGAAAAATTTAAACAGAAGAATTAGAAGAGAGACGCTGACAACATGCCTATGCAATACAAATAAATACAAGTCACCCAGCACTGATTATCAGTAGGCACCCATGCAGTGACGCATGGATGGTAGAAATGAATTTCCGTTCGTTAATCTCGCTAAAACTCGAGAACAGCTGAACCGATTTTTTTTATGGCATAAGCTGGTTAACGAGCACACGGATCACCTGATGGTAAGCAAACGGCGTCGCCCATAGACACCTGGAACACCAGAGGCGTTACAAGCGCGTTACCTGCCTTTTGGGGGTTAGGAGTTTGAGGATCGTTGGGGATTCCGGGATTGGGGAGATTGGGAAAGGGGAGGGTAATTGGGCCTCCGGTAACCTCACTCACACGACGAAATACAACGCAAGCGTTGCTTCACGTCGGTTTTCTGTGAGGCCGTGGTATAACTCCGGTCGAGCCGGCCCATTCAAGAATACACTAAAGGTAACGCTGTTCGGAGCACAGCACGATATAGATAATAAGATTAATATAAAAATTAAAACAAAATCAATAGAAACGACAACTGATGAGTACTAGTTTATAGTAGGTAATATAATACATAATTTAATACTTTAATTCTAATGTAGACAATCTAGTTTCATTATGGCATCGAGCATTTCTTTCTTTATTGAAACAAAGAGTTTCCTTTTTCTTGTATAGAAGCACTATTTCTATGGATTGTCAGTATGCATATGTGAGCACCATGTTAGACTTAAGATTTTTTATTTTTTTATTTTAGTAAGTTTAACTTACTATTTAACTTACTAATAATATTAGTATAATGCGTCAAGCGTGTCTTTGCATTGTTCTTACATATGCGTACAGTATTGAAATATGTATCAGAGACATTGTAGAACATACTTTTTTTAAAGAGTAACGAATGGAGTTTCTTGCTCGTTCTTCTCCATTCGAATCTACATTTTGGAATGAGCACCTAGCTTCACCTAATTTCACTGACGGACTGACTGTCAGACTATTATTTATTTTGTATTTGTTGACGTTTCAAAAGTACCAAACTATGATTTAATTGAAATAAATGCTTTGACTTAGACTTTGACTAAATGAATACATTACGACTTACCATAAAAGCATCTTTAGGAAACTCCTCAATGTTAGTATTAGTCATATAAAGCTCCTGCAGAGTTCTATTCACTCCGGCGAACGCATACTGGTCTATGGTCCTAATGGGAGTGTCTATAATCTCTATAACTCTTATTGTTGATCTGTGGAACAGAGGGCCGAAGAGGTTTGCTGAAAAATAGAAATAACATGTTTAGATTCCTTAAATTAAAATTGATTTTAAAAAAGCAGGTTCTCTGTTTAACCTGTATGTATGTGCGTTTGTTTGTCCGTGATTTCCTCGCGATTGGCTGAACCGATTTTCAGAAGTCTTTGTTCCACAAGCATGTATTAGTAAGTAAGTATATTAATCCATAGTCTCTGCCTACCCCCACGAGAGACAGGCGGATATGTACGTATGTTTGAATCATTTTTATGTACAACTTATTTTTTAAAAGTAATTTCTAAAAATACTCACTAAATTTACACTCATTCAGCACTAATTTCTCGATTGGCAACCCCAAACCAGCAATGTTGCCAAGCCCAACACTAAGTATTGCGAGGCCTGTATTTTCACATCTTATATATAGACCGCTGTCCGACCCTTTTTCACATACACAGGGGTACAACAGAGTGGTCGTGGAGTCTTTGGGACATGGGTATAAAGGCCCAGGAGGTATGTACTCGGAGTTTGTATATGTTAATAAAGTTGCCAGCGTAAAAAATAATTTTGTGACCATTTTTGTGGGTGAGCGATCTGGAAAAAGAAAGGTGTGATTTAAAATTAGGTTTTAAATATGTAGCTTCGTTTAAACTGCAGTATTCACTTTCAATTTATATAAAAAAAAAACCACTATTGATTGGTTGAAATTGTACTATTTATTCAGTAGGCAGTATACAGTTAAATATTCTTCATAGATAAGTCTATCTAGTGTTGGTAACTGCATAAAAATTTATTCAGTCAAAATCAAAATCAAAATCAAAATCAAATCAATTTATTTGTGAACACAGGTTATACAGAAGGTTGTTTAACATACATTAATAGCATCTCTATGTTCTACCAATAAAATTGGTGTACAAATAGTTATTAAGTTAGGCAGGTACCAAGCATTATTAATATATCGAGTCGAGTATCAGTAATGTTTGAGTTTATCGCAATCAGACAGACAAAGACTGTCCATACAAATAGTCTCATAAGAAAAAGACTGAATTATTTATTTAATAATACCTAGTACATACTTAGGCTACTTATTCCTGTTGGTATTTCTTCCTGTAGACCTGAGACAGGAAAAGTACGTAATTAAAACTAAAGATAGTGTGCATTTATAGTGGACACAATTGGTAATATAACTAAATTGAATCTATTTCCTTTAGTCAGAATTATTCAAATTGGTTTATAATTACATAACAT